TGTAGTATTGATCTGGTATCGATGTTGTATTTATGTAGAATTTATGTAGTACTGATGTAGTATTGATCTGGTATCGATGTTGTATTTATGTAGAATATATGTAGTATTGATGTAGTATTGATCTGGTATCGATGTTGTATTTATGTAGAATATATGTAGTATTGATGTAGTATTGATCTAGTATTGATGTAGAACATATGTAGTATTGATCTGGTATCGATGTTGTATTTATGTAGAATATATGTAGTGTTGATCTGGTATCGATGTTGTATTTATGTAGAATATATGTAGTATTGATGTAGTATTGATCTAGTATTGATGTAGAATATATGTAGTATTGATGTAGTATTGATCTAGTATTGATGTAGAACATATGTAGTATTGATCTGGTATTGATGTAGAACATATGTAGTATTGATCTGGTATCGATGTTGTATTATGTAGAATATATGTAGTATTGATGTAGTATTGATCTAGTATTGATGTAGAATATATGTAGTATTGATGTAGTATTGATCTAGTATTGATGTAGAATATATGTAGTATTGATGTAGTATTGATCTAGTATTGATGTAGAACATATGTAGTATTGATCTGGTATCGATGTTGTATTTATGTAGAATATATGTAGTATTGATGTAGTATTGATCTAGTATTGATGTAGAATATATGTAGTATTGATGTAGTATTGATCTAGTATTGATGTAGAATATATGTAGTATTGATCTGGTATCGATGTTGTATTTATGTAGAATATATGTAGTGTTGATCTGGTATCGATGTTGTATTTATGTAGAATATATGTAGTATTGATGTAGTATTGATCTAGTATTGATGTAGAACATATGTAGTGTTGATCTGGTATCGATGTTGTATTTATGTAGAATATATGTAGTATTGATGTAGTATTGATCTAGTATTGATGTAGAATATATGTAGTATTGATGTAGTATTGATCTAGTATTGATGTAGAATATATGTAGTATTGATCTAGTATTGATGTAGAATATATGTAGTATTGATCTGGTATCGATGTTGTATTTATGTAGAATATATGTAGTGTTGATCTGGTATCGATGTTGTATTTATGTAGAATATATGTAGTATTGATGTAGTATTGATCTAGTATTGATGTAGAACATATGTAGTATTGATCTGGTATCGATGTTGTATTTATGTAGAATATATGTAGTGTTGACGTAGTATTGATGTAGTATTGATCTGGTATCGATGTTGTATTTATGTAGAATATATGTAGTATTGACGTAGTATTGATGTAGTATTGATCTGGTATCAATGTTGTATTTATGTAGAATATATGTAGTGTTGATCTGGTATCGATGTTGTATTTATGTAGAATATATGTAGTGTTGACGTAGTATTGATCTAGTATTGACGTAATATTGACGTAGTATTGATCTGGTATCGATGATGTATTTATGTAGAATATATGTAGTGTTGACGTAGAATTGATCAGTATTGATGCTGAATTAATATAGTATTGATCTAGTATTGACGTAGTATTGATCTGGTATCGATGTTGTATTTATGTAGAATATATGTAGTGTTGACGTAGTATTGATCTAGTGTTGACGTCGAATTGATCAGTATTGATGCTGAATTAATATATTATTGACGTAGTATTGACGTAGTATTGATCTGGTATCGATGTTGTATTTATGTAGAATATATGTAGTGTTGATGTAGTATTGATCTAGTGTTGACGTAGAATTGATCAGTATTGATGCTGAATTAATATATTATTGACGTAGTATTGACGTAGTATTGACGTAGTATTGATCTGGTATCGATGTTGTATTTATGTAGAATATATGTAGTGTTGATGTAGTATTGATCTAGTGTTGACGTAGAATTGATCAGTATTGATGCTGAATTAATATAGTATTGACGTAGTATTGACGTAGTATTGATCTGGTATCGATGTTGTATTTATGTAGAATATATGTAGTGTTGACGTAGTATTGATGTAGTATTGATCTGGTATCGATGTTGTATTTATGTAGAATATATGTAGTATTGATCTGGTGTTGACGTAGAATTGATCAGTATTGATGCTGAATTAATATAGTATTGATCTAGTATTGACGTAGTATTGATCTGGTAGCGATGTTGTATTTATGTAGAATATATGTAGTGTTGACGTAGTATTGATGTAGTATTGATCTGGTATCGATGTTGTATTTATGTAGAATATATGTAGTATTGATCTGGTGTTGACGTAGAATTGATCAGTATTGATGCTGAATTAATATAGTATTGATCTAGTATTGACGTAGTATTGACGTAGTATTGATCTGGTATCGATGTTGTATTTATGTAGAATATATGTAGTGTTGACGTAGTATTGATCTAGTGTTGACGTAGAATTGATCAGTATTGATGCTGAATTAATATAGTATTGATCTAGTATTGACGTAGTATTGATCTGGTATCGATGTTGTATTTATGTAGAATATATGTAGTATTGATGTAGTATTGATGTAGTATTGATGTAGTATTGATGTAGAACATATGTAGTATTGATCTGGTATCGATGTTGTATTTATGTAGAATATATGTAGTGTTGACGTAGTATTGATGTAGTATTGATCTGGTATCGATGTTGTATTTATGCAGAATATATGTAGTATTGATGTAGTATTGATCTGGTATCGATGTTGTATTTATGTAGAATATATGTAGTATTGACGTAGTATTGATGTAGTATTGATCTGGTATCGATGTTGTATTTATGTAGAATATATGTAGTATTGACGTAGTATTGATGTAGTATTGATCTGGTATCGATGTTGTATTTATGTAGAATATATGTAGTGTTGATCTGGTATCGATGTTGTATTTATGTAGAATATATGTAGTATTGACGTAGTATTGATGTAGTATTGATCTGGTATCGATGTTGTATTTATGTAGAATATATGTAGTGTTGACGTAGTATTGATGTAGTATTGATCTGGTATCGATGTTGTATTTATGTAGAACATATGTAGTATTGATCTGGTAGCGATGTTGTATTTATGTAGAATATATGTAGTATTGATCTGGTATCGATGTTGTATTTATGTAGAATATATGTAGTGTTGACGTAGTATTGATGTAGTATTGATCTGGTATCGATGTTGTATTTATGTAGAATATATGTAGTATTGACGTAGTATTGATGTAGTATTGATCTGGTATCGATGTTGTATTTATGTAGAATATATGTAGTGTTGATGTAGTATTGATCTGGTATCGATGTTGTATTTATGTAGAATATATGTAGTGTTGATGTAGTATTGATCTAGTGTTGACGTAGAATTGATCAGTATTGATGCTGAATTAATATATTGACGTAGTATTGACGTAGTATTGACGTAGTATTGATCTGGTATCGATGTTGTATTATGTAGAATATATGTAGTGTTGATGTACTTTTGATCTAGTGTTGACGTAGAATTGATCAGTATTGATGCTGAATTAATATAGTATTGACGTAGTATTGACGTAGTATTGATCTGGTATCGATGTTGTATTTATGTAGAATATATGTAGTGTTGACGTAGTATTGATGTAGTATTGATCTGGTATCGATGTTGTATTTATGTAGAATATATGTAGTATTGATCTGGTGTTGACGTAGAATTGATCAGTATTGATGCTGAATTAATATAGTATTGATCTAGTATTGACGTAGTATTGATCTGGTAGCGATGTTGTATTTATGTAGAATATATGTAGTGTTGACGTAGTATTGATGTAGTATTGATCTGGTATCGATGTTGTATTTATGTAGAATATATGTAGTATTGATCTGGTGTTGACGTAGAATTGATCAGTATTGATGCTGAATTAACATAGTATTGATCTAGTATTGACGTAGTGTTGACATAGTATTGACGTAGTATTGACGTAGTATTGATCTGGTATCGATGTTGTATTTATGTAGAATATATGTAGTGTTGACGTAGTATTGATCTAGTGTTGACGTAGAATTGATCAGTATTGATGCTGAATTAATATAGTATTGATCTAGTATTGACGTAGTATTGACGTAGTATTGATCTGGTATCGATGTTGTATTTATGTAGAATATATGTAGTATTGATGTAGTATTGATGTAGAACATATGTAGTATTGATCTGGTATCGATGTTGTATTTATGTAGAATATATGTAGTGTTGACGTAGTATTGATGTAGTATTGATCTGGTATCGATGTTGTATTTATGCAGAATATATGTAGTATTGATGTAGTATTGATCTGGTATCGATGTTGTATTTATGTAGAATATATGTAGTATTGACGTAGTATTGATGTAGTATTGATCTGGTATCGATGTTGTATTTATGTAGAATATATGTAGTATTGACGTAGTATTGATGTAGTATTGATCTGGTATCGATGTTGTATTTATGTAGAATATATGTAGTGTTGATCTGGTATCGATGTTGTATTTATGTAGAATATATGTAGTGTTGACGTAGTATTGATGTAGTATTGATGTAGTATTGATCTGGTATCGATGTTGTATTTATGTAGAATATATGTAGTATTGACGTAGTATTGATGTAGTATTGATCTGGTATCGATGTTGTATTTATGTAGAATATATGTAGTGTTGATGTAGTATTGATCTGGTATCGATGTTGTATTTATGTAGAATATATGTAGTATTGACGTAGTATTGATGTAGTATTGATCTGGTATCGATGTTGTATTTATGTAGAATATATGTAGTATTGACGTAGTATTGATGTAGTATTGATCTAGTATTGTTGTAGTATTGACGTAGCATTGATGTAGAATTGATGTTTTATCATGTAGAATTTATGTAGTATTGACTTGTTTTGATGTAGTATTGATCAGTATTGATGTAGAATATATGTAGTATTGATCTGGTATCGATGTTGTATTTATGTAGAATATATGTAGTGTTGATGTAGTATTGATGTAGTATTGACGTAGTATTGATGTAGAATTGATCGTGTCTGATTTACCTGTTGAAGTACTCGGCGATCCCCGGTCTCCTGGACTGCAGCTCAGACTCTGGACCTCTGTTGTCCCGCACCATCTGAACCGGAGCGCCCTGCCTACGAGCGCACTCGAATGTGTTCCTGGTGCAAGCGGTGGCGGCAACTGGGTTCAGCTCACCTGGCGGTGGCAGGTCCGTGATGAAGGTGTCATCATCAGAGTCGACTTCTGGTAGGTCAGCGGTCACATCTGCCTCCAGTGTGTCTGAGTCAGAGTCTGAGGGGGGGCTCACAAGGTTTATGTCTACCTGGGCGCCATCTGAAGAGGCGGGCTCATCCGGGTAGCGGTAGATGCCTTGGGTAGCCCCGCCCCCACACCGATCATCCCCATCCAGTCTGTGACAGTGGTTAACCTCTGGACTGATCTGGTCTGTTTGGGTGACATCATCTCTCAGACTCAGACTCTGACCTCGGGCGATGACATCAGCAGAGGAGGAGGGGTGGTGATGATGATGATGTTGACATGGTGAGGAGTCGTTGCTGACAGTCACCGGTGAAGAGGACGCATCATCGCTGCCTTCCATCTCAGCGTGAAGCTACACAGAGCAAACATGCGCATCTTACTTTGAAAGGCTCATGGTCATTACATCACAGAACATCAAGCGTCTTATTTTGAAGGGCTCATGGTCATTACATCACAGAACACCATGCGTCTTACTTTGAAGGGCTCGTGGTTTTAATTAGTTGAGCATTCGTCCGAGGTGTCCGCAGCTGTCTGTGTGCACGTCTGCTTCAGAGAATATTCGAGCCTTAAATCTGCCGCAGCTCATTTACTTCATGCTTAATAATAATAATAATGCATTACCTTTCAATAGCGCTTTATCACAGACACTCAAAGCACTTCAGAGTCGGGGGGGACTCCAATTTGTGTCCCCCCCCGGGTGATGCACAGCAGCCATTTTTGAACATGCTCACCACACATCAGCTTGAGGCGGAGAAGGAGGGAAACATTGAGCCAGTTACCCTGGGATCTTATTATTAGGGCCTGAGGGAAGACCGCCCCCTACTGGCCCACCAACACCTTTTCCAGCAGCAACTTAGTTTTTCCAGGAGGTACTGGCCAAGCCCAAACCTGCTTAGCTTCAGTCACTGAGCAGAAGCAGGCCACACGTTGGTGTGGCTGCTGGCTGCTGTTCTGTTCGTTAAAATTCTCTTTACGTGATTGGTCGGCTGGGTAGCCTCGCAATGCCTCCGAGCCGACAGGAAGTGCCCGTGCTTTGAAGTAACTTTTACTAGCAGCCAAAATGGCGGCTGTAACACGGTGGATCAATATATTTGACCGTCACAACCCGAGCGAAATGACTCGCTATCAGAATGTGATCCACTCTGTCGGTAACATTTGAAAAGGCTACACCAGCAGCACGTTTACAACTTTACCCCTATTCATGTTAGCGGAGCGCTAAACGGGAAATTAACCTGCTCGGCCGGCAAAAGTCAACACAGTGGACGCTGTAGCGCTACTGCCAACTAGTGTTTGGGGGTGTAATTGCAGATTGACGGACACATGGACACACAAGTATAAATGCATGGCTACATGCGTAGCCTGCGGCGTAGCTATGCACGCAGACCCTACGCAGGAGTATAAATCAAGCTTAACGGTTTGTTGCGGGTCTCTGCAGCGTTTCCTGCCTTGCTTAGCGGAGCTCAGGTGGTTCTGGTTTAATAATACAGTTATTAATAACAATTTATTAATAAACTTAATTAATTACTGAGATAAACTTTATAAATAAATGTTTAATAAAAAACATTATTAATAACAATGTAATAATAATAAAGTTGAATTAATAATATTAATTTAAAAATACACTTTATTGGTACAAAAACTGCAGCTTAAAGTGCTTCACAACAAACGAAATGACCGTATCCACCTTCAACATGTACATAATGTGAATAATAGTTTACTCCTGCATCCTTTGCACTCTGCTCACTGCACTATTTGTCAATATGTCTATATTGTTTTGTTCATAGTGTGTATATTAGTGTTGTCTATACTGTAGTTTGTGTCTGATTTTATTTTATTATTGTGTTATGGTATTTTTGTACGAGTAAGCACATCATGAGCAATGTACAATCCTGAGTCAAATTCCTTGTATGTGAACACATACCTGGCAATAAAGCGGATTCTGATGACCGAGTCACCGCTTATTAACTTCCAGGTGACCTTTTATTTTGAAGGGAGCCCCGCTGGTTTTAAAGGTCTTATTTTGAAGGTCTGGTTGCCGGTAACAGTCGGTAACTTGTCTCACCTCTCCGGATCTTCTCTCAGCGGTGCACGGCAGAAACAAACCCGGCCGCGGCGCCTCCTCCTCGGTGAACGGACGGCGGAGTCCTCCGGAGCATCACACCGGGACACAGAGCCGTCAGGCCGGCAGAGTGACGGCCGCTGCGGCGGCTCTCACCGGCGCTGACAGGTGAGCTCGGGGCGGAGAGGCGCCATGTTCAGACGTCCGGTGACGTACAGAGGGCTACGTCAGCCTGACGTCAGATGGATTAGACTTTCCTAAAGGTGAAGAGGCCGTTTTGTTCCGTCTGTTGTTGCCTTCAGTAAGTTATGGTGTCAGTCGTTTGTAAGCCGGTGAGGACAGCCAAGAGATACCTGACGATGCACGTGGCTCCAGGAGAACTAATGACAAAATATTTTAACAGTATTTTGAGGAAATATTCGATAATGAAATATGAGTGGGGGGGTCATTTCCTGCCTTCTGTTGAAAATGTTTTTATTTATATTCAGTTCAGTTTTATTTATATAGCGCCACAACAACAGTTATCTCAGAGCACCTATCATAAAGAGCAGGTCTAGACCGTACTCTGATGATGAATCACAGATGAAGGGAATATAACTGAATACAACTCGGTGCGGCCCTGTGATGGACTGGCGACCTGTCCAGGGTGCAGGTTGGCGATGGATGGATGGGTAATTGGGTGTTCAGCATTGTATTGCAGGTTTTCTTACTGTGCAAAGTAAACTTTCTCAGAGCGCTCTGACTCCGCCCCCAGAGCTCAGCAGGCAGGTGAGATGAGGAACAGGTGATCGTTAGGTAGAGCGCAGAGGACCGGCCCACTTCAAGCACGTTTCCAATTCATCTAACTGTTTAAAGAACCAAATGTTTCACTGACACTGAATCCATCTGAAATATTTTGCTTTGGTAATTTTTACTAAAACGCATCTGCTCAAATATAAAATGTAAAATAACTTCAGTAAAAACACATTATGATGTCATTATGTTAGACGGGTTGAGATTGGATCACAAGATCAATATCACACACTGAAGAGTCATGTGACCAGTTGTTCAGGTTTATTATTTTACAAATGAAAAATATCTTCTATTAAATTATAAAAAGCAGCCACGTGCCTGTTTGCACATTTACAGACACTCTGAGCAACATAACAAACGTAACTTAAATTCACGGTTTCAACCAATCAGAATGCAGTACTGTAGTGGGCAGGGCTTACATCAGGTGACTTAATTTCTTCCATATTAAATGATTGAACCGTCCAATCAGAGCGCTTCAGACCCTGTTACCGGGCGAGTTTCAGAGATTTAAATGTGACCAGGTCCTGCAGTTATGGTACAGTCGTCCCCATGGCAACCGCCAATGAGGCTCATGGGTACTGTAGTGTTTAAAAGGATAGAAGGACAGATCTGTTCAAAGGAAGGGCCCCGCCCACTAAGCATTACCTCAGGAGGAAATAGTACCTGAACCAGAGGCCCCACCCACCTCAACACGTCGTAGCCCTGATTGCTTAACGGCCCCACTTCCTGTTCAACAAACATTTTATTTTGTAAAATCCAACATGGCTCCCGGCTGCGCCTTCACGCGTAGCCGCACTTGTGCAGCTTCAGGTTGCGCTGGTCCGAGTATCGCTTCCCGCACTTGTCGCAGATGTACTGCTTGCCGCCGGCGTGCACGTGCCTCTTGTGCGTCCTCAGGTGGCTGCCCTGGCTGAAGGTCTTGCCGCAGATGTCGCAGGTGTACGGCTTCTCGCCGGTATGGACGCGCAGGTGCAGCTTCAGGCTGTTGGCGTTGTTGAACTTCTTGTCGCAGGAGCCGCAGGCGAACGGGCGCTCCTTGGAGTGCGTGCGGCCGTGTGAGATCAGGCTGCTCTGCTGGCTGAACGTCTTGCCGCACTCCTGGCAGCTGAACGGACGCTCGCCAGTGTGGGTCCTCCGGTGGATCTTCAGGTTGACCGACTGGCGGAAGCTCTTCCCGCAGAGGTCGCAGCTGAACGGCCGCACGCCGCTGTGGATCCTCTGGTGGTTCTTGAGGTTGACGGCGTGGCGGAAGGTTTTAGGGCACTGCTCACATTTTAAGGGTTTCTGTCCGGTGTGGATGAGCTCGTGTGTTTTCAGCGTGACACCGCGGGTGAAGCCTTTCCCACACACGCCGCAGACAAAGATCTTCTTGCCTGTGTGCGTGTGCGCGTGGCGGTGCAGGTTCTGCAGCACGTTGAAGCGGCGGCCGCACACCTCGCAGGCGTAGGGCTTCTCTCCAGTGTGGATGACGGCGTGCGTCTTGAGCTGCGTCTGCTTGGAGAAACACTTGCCGCACTGCGGACACTCGTACGGCCGCTCGCCGGTGTGCGTCCGCATGTGGCTGCGCAGACTCTGCCTCTGACGGAAAGCCCGGCCGCAGTCGCTGCAGCAGAACGGCTTCTCGCCTGTGTGGATGCGGTAATGAGACTTCAGGTTGCTCTGGGACGTGAAGGATTTACCGCACGCCGTGCACATGAAGTATTTCCACGCCACGCTCTGCAGAAGAAACTCCGCGCTGGACACCTTCTGCTGGAGGTCAGAGGTCACCGGCTCCACGGCTTCAAGTCGAGCTCCTGGAAGAAACACAGAACAAGTCAGACGCTCGCGTGCAGATAAATCTGCCTGAACTCTGTGCCGTCAGCCAGGTGGGACTACTTCCTGTTTTCAAAAAGAAATGTAACGATGAAATAAAACAAAATTCAATTCAGTTTTATTTATATAGCGCCAAATCACAACAACAGTTATCTCACAGCGCTTTTCATAAAGAGCAGGTCTAGACCGTACTCTGTGATGTTATTTACAGAAGCCCAACAGTTCCCACCAAGAACAGCACTAGGAGACAGAGGCAAGGAAAAACTTCCTTTAAGAGGCAGAAACCTCGAGCAGAACCATGACTCAGGGTGGGCGACCATCTGTCTCCACCGGTTGGGGTGAAGGGGGGGGTGATTATAATAACAATAAGACTAGTAACAATAGTCGTTGTAGCAGAGGGTGTCGAGCAGGAACACGGGGGCAGCAGGTGACCCGCAACCACAGATCCAGACTCCACAGCTCCAGAGCCAGAAAACCTGCAGGAAGTGATAGGAGGAGAGAGGAGAGGGACGAGAAAGCACAAGACTACCAGAAAGGGGAGAAGTTGTGTTAGTAACATGCAATAATGGGATGAGGTTGCATACAGAGGGAGAGAAAGTAGAGGAGAGAGGAGCTCAGTGCATCATGGGAAATCCCCCGGCAGTCTAGGCCTATAGCAGCATAACTAAGGGATGGTTCAGGACTCACCTGAGCCAGCCCTAACTATAAGCTTTATCAAAGAGGAAAGTCTTAAGCCTACTCTTAAATGTGGAGATGGTGTCTGCCTCCTGAACCCAAACTGGAACCTGGTTCCACAGGAGAGGAGCTTGATAGCTGAACGCTCTGGCTCCTAGTCTACTTTTGGAGACTCTAGGAACCACAAGTAACCCTGCATTCTGGGAGCGCAGTGCTCTGGTGGGGTAGTAAGGTACTATGAGCTCTTTAAGATAAGATGGTGCCTGACCATTAAGAGCTTTGTAGGTAAGAAGAATGATTTTAAATTCTATTCTGGATTTTACTGGAAGCCAATGCAGAGAAGCTAAAACAGGAGAAATGTGATCTCTTTTCCTGGTTCCTGTCAGAACACGTGCTGCAGCATTCTGGATCAGCTGAAGAGTCTTAATGGACTTTTTCGATCATGCCATCAAGGGAAACTATATGTTTAGATAATGCGTCACGTAGGTGCTTAGGCCCCAGAACAATAACTTCAGTTTTAACATTAGAAAATTACAGGTTATCCAGGTTTTAACATCCTGAAGGCACATTTGAAGTTTAGCTAACTGATGAGTTTCATCTGGCTTGATCGATAGATATAACTGAGTATCATCTGCATAACAATGAAAGCTTATGGAATGTTTCCTGATAATATTGCCTAAAGGAAGCATATATAAAGTGAAGAGGATTGGTCCGAGGACAGATCCTTGAGGAACTCCATGAGTAACTTTGGCGTGCATGGAGGACTCATTGTTAACATGTACAAACTGAAATCGATCTGATAAATAGGACTTAAACCAGCTTAGAGTGGTTCCTTTAATGCCAATGAAATGTTCCAGTCTCTGCAATAGGATCTGATGGTCAATGGTATCAAATGCAGCACTAAGATCTAGTAAAAGTCCTTTGTCTGATGCAATAAGGAGGTCGTTAGTAATTTTCACCAGTGCTGTCTCTGTGCTATGATGAGCTCTAAATCCTGACTGAAAATCCTCAAATAAACTATTGCTCTGTAGAAAGTCACACAGCTGTTTAGCAACTGCTTTCTCCAGAACCTTAGAGAGAAATGGAAGGTTAGATATAGGTCTATAGTTGGCTAAAACATCCGGATCAAGTTTGGGCTTTTTCAGAAGAGGTTTAATTACAGCTACTTTAAAGTACTGTGGTACATAGCCTGTTGATAAAGATAGATTGATCATATCTAGTATAGAGGTGCTGACTAAGGGTAAAACATCTTTAAGCAGCCTAGTCGGGATGGGGTCTAAGAGGCAGGTTGATGGTTTAGATGAAGAAATTATTGAAGTTAGTTGGTAAAGATTGAGGGAAGCAAAACAGTCTAAACATGTATCTGGTTCTACAGCTGTTTCTAAGGTTCCTGAGTTAGAGATAAGTTGGTGCCATTGAGGGCAGGTCTTGGTGAATTTTGTCTCTAATAGCTAGAATTTTATCATTAAAGAAGCTCATGAAGTCGTAACTACTGAGAGCTATGGGAATACTTGGCTCAATAGAGCTGTGACTCTCTGTCAGCCTGGCTACAGTGCTGAAAAGAAACCTGGGGTTGTTCCTATTTTCCTCTATTAATGACGAGTAGTACGCTGCTCTGGCATTACGGAGGGCCTTCCTATAAGTTTTAAGACTATCTTGCCAAATTAAACGAGAATTTTCCACTTTGGTGGAACGCCAATTCCTCTCAGTTTCCGTGATATTTGCTTTAATTTGCGAGTTTCAGTATTATACCATGGAGCTAACCGTCTTTGTTTTAGTATTTTCTTTTTTAGAGGGGCTACAGAGTCGAGTGTCATTCGCAGCGAGCCTGCAGCACTATCAACAAGATGATCGATTTGGGAGGGACTGAAATTAGCATAGGAGTCCTCCGTTACTTTGTGACTAGATAATGAATTTAGAGCTGATGGAATCGCATCCTTAAATTTAGCTACAGCACTATCAGACAGACATCTTGTATAGAAATTTTTGCCCAATGGCGAGTAGTTCAGCAATACAAACTCAAAAGTTATCAAACAGTGGTCGGATAAAGAGGGATTCTGTGGGAACACCACTAAATGTTCAATTTCAATACCATACACCAAAACAAGGTCGAGGGTGTGGTTAAAACAGTGAGTCGGTTCATGAACACTCTGAGAGAAGCCAATGGAATCTAACAGAGAGATAAACGCAGTACTGAAGCTGTCATTCTCAACGTCCACATGAATATTAAAATCCCCTACAATAATAACTTTGTCCGTTTTAAGGACTAAAGTTGACAAAAACTCTGCAAATTCAGATAAGAATTCAGATACGGGCCAGGTGCTCGGTACACTATAACAAAGAGAATTGGTTGCAGTGATTTCCAACTTGGGTGCGAAAGACCAAGAACAAGACTTTCAAATGAGTTATAGTTTAGTTTAGGTTTAGAGCTGATTAGTAGGCTAGAGTCGAAGATAGCTGCAACTCCACCTCCTCGGCCTGTGCCTCGAGGAATGTGAGTATTAATATGACTGGGAGGGGTGGATTCATTTAGGCTAACATATTCTCCATCACCCAGCCAGGTTTCAGTAAGACCAAATAAATCAATATCATAATCTGATATTAGTTCATTTACTAGTACACCTTTAGAAGAGAGAGATCTGATGTTTAAGAGTCCACATTTAACTCTCCTATTCGTTTGCACTATTGCTCTTGTGGTTTTAATTTTTATGAGGTTTTTATGCACAGCTCCTCTTCTGTTTACCTTTTTAAATAATTTCGATGGTCGGGGGCAGACACCGTCACTATAGGATTTTCACTAAGTAACTCCTGAAATGGAGGAGCAGAGAAGTGTGTTAGACTGTGACTCTGCCTCCTGGTCTCAACTCTGGGTTGTCATGGATTTGGTCCACTAATAAACTTGGCCAGATTTCTAGAAATGAGAGCTGCTCCTTCCCAAGTGGGATGGATGCCGTCTCTCCGGATCAGACCAGGTCTTCCCCAGAAAGTCTGCCAATGATCAACAAAGCCCACATCGTTTGCTGGACACCACCTCGACAACCAGCGGCGGAAAGACGACATGCGGCTATACATGTCATCACTGGTCAGATTTGACAGGGGTCCAGAGAAAACTCAAAAAAAAAAAATCAAACTGTTACCGTCTTTTTACTGTACTGGGTTCTATGAAAGCAACTGCTCGCTTCAGGCCGCTTATTACATCACAGCCAACGGCCATCGTTTAACTGTGATATAGCAAGCGATGAGGGACAGGTACTGATCGGGGACCAGGTACTCACTCTCAGCGATGGCTCCCAGGTCGATGTTGCCGTGTTCGTCTTTAACCGTCACTGCCAGGACAAACGGATTTTCACTTCCCTCCTCCTCTAGTTTGGTCTGCAGCAACACAACAGACAGACATCAGGTCAGTGAAGGCATCACGGCTGCACAGGCGGGTCTGTGAAGGCATCACGGCTGCACAGGTGAGTCTGTGAAGGCAACACGGCTGCACAGGTGAGTCAGCAGTCTTACCTGAGCGGATCTGTGTGCGTCGGAGCTCTCGAGACGAATCCCGTACGAGTGTTCGACCTCTGTGACGGACAAATGACGTTAGTATGACATCATCACGTGGCAGCTTTCCTGTCTGGTGCGTTTGACTGACAGGGGGCGGATCCCGCTTACGTACCGACACGTGCGCTGCTGAGGACGTTGAGGACGCTGGTCTGCGGTCTCTTGCCGCCCCTCCTGGACTCAAGCTGCCCCAGCAGTTGGGCTTCGTCCACGATGTTCAGGATCTTCCCCAGAGCCTCGTTCCCCAGAGTCTCCATGACGGCGGCGAACAGCACCTGACGCAGGTCAAAGGTCAAACAGACACCGTCACACACGCTGCTGACACACAGGCTGTTTACCAGACAACAACAGAACCAGAACCAGTTCCATTATCACACGAGACTTCATCACGTCGGACACGTCGGCTGAAACAGCAGCAGACAGACAGGAAGTGACATCACAGCAACATGACGAGGACGTGACGCAGCAACAGATCGAGTTTTACGAAGCGGTTCCTGTTTCTTTGGTTTTTATCGACGGCTGTGATTAAGAGCGAACACTCGCAGCAGCAGGGAGAGAAGAGAAAGTTCTGGCTCTCACGCAGACCGGCGCCCGGTCTGGTTGATGGCGGCCGAGCGGCAGGACCTGGCTTTAAGGGCTCTGGTGCTCTTCATGTTGTTACTACAAGTCACTGTGATCGCACTCACACCACGGTCTACTCGCTCTTTGGTCGTCAAGGCTGGAAACGCATAAACCTCCCAGAAACAAACTGGGAAGTGGGCGGTTAAAGTCCTGGAGGCGTCTTCAGCGGGACTCGGACCACGTGTTTTTATTCTGTTGACTGAGCTCAGGGCTGGGAGGGAGACCCGGGTCTCAGTCTGACTCTTTATAGGCTCTAAACTGTCTGAAGCTGAATCTGCGGAGCGACTACACTCCTTTACGTTGAGTCTGAAACACAAAGTAAAACTTTTCATTTCGAGAGAAGAAAAGTGAATCCGACACTTTCAAAATGAAAAAAACCTGATACGGACCGGGTCCCCGGGTCCCCGGGTCCCCGGGTCCAGCCGCCCCCCCTGCTCACCATCTTGTCCCGGCTGTCGGCCTGCGCTCCGCCCGGCGGAGGCGGCTCCTCTGCGGTCCGGGGCTGCCGGTCCTCCCGCACCAGCTTCTGCAGCTCCGCCACGGCGGCGTGGACCAGAGACTCCATGACGGCGGCCAGCCGGGTGTGCAGGGGGGGGGCTCATGCTGACGGCTCCCGCCCCGCGGGGAACATCGGCGGGACTCACTTGGTTCCAGGAGCAGAAACGAGTGAAAGCTGCGCTGGCTGACGGCAGGATGCAGCGGAGAGGGAGAGCCTCCGCTTCCGGTTCCGGGTCACGTCCAAGGGGGTGAGCCTGAGATCGGACAGTGAAGCCGACCAAAGCCTGCAGGCCCCAAAATGACGTCAAAACCCCGTGACACCCCGTCGCACGTGAGAGATGTGACCGTATTGCTTAGATTATAAACTCTCAGAAAAGTAAAACACGCTGCGTTGGTGTTTCACAGCTGAGCCTCGTAGGTGGGCTGATTAATCAGTGACAAACACGCTGAGCCACGAGACTTTATGTACCGGAATTACGGTGTTTCTGCCGTTGCTTTACGTCATTAAACCACGGTTACGCTGCGCGATCATGCGCAGTAGACGCTGGTGCCAACAGGAAGTAGCCCTGTAGTGGTTTTGGTCCGGAAGTGGCTTCACTGCTCTCCATTCAGACCAGTCAGATACTGTCTGTGGTCACAACACGCAGCTGATTTAGTGATGGCTATAAACAAATGGCGCAGATGGACTTTTATTAGTTCTTTTGGAAGGATATTGGAAATATTTTGTTCCAAGCACAGAGAGGAAAGCATCCAACGATTTTTTCAATTTCAATTCAATTTTATTTATATAGCGCCAAATCACAACAACAGTTATCTCACAGCGCTTTTCATAAAGAGCAGGTCTAGACCGTACTCTGTGATGATATTTACAGAAGCCCAACAGTTCCCACCAAGAGCAGCACTAGGAGACAGAGGCAAGGAAAAACTTCCTTTTAAGAGGCAGAAACCTCGAGCAGAACCATGGCTCAGGGTGGGCGACCATCTGCCTCCACCGGTTGGGGTGAAGAGAGAGAGAGAGAGAGAGAGAGAGAGAGAGAGAGAGAGAGAGGGAGGGAGGGAGGCAGCCTACACAATATCCACACAGAGGTACAGACAGTAAAGGTGATGTTGCTATAGACTAAATGAAAAATGGTACAGATATTTATAGTAGTGTTAATGGTAACCATCGTAATGTTAATGATTATAATAACAATAATAACAATAGGACCAGCAACAATAGCTGTTGCAGCACAGTGTGCCGAGCAGGAACACGGGGGCAGCAGGTGACCCGCAACCACAGATCCAGACTCCACAGCTCCAGAGCCAGAAAACCTGCAGGAAGTGATAGGAGGAGAGACGAGAGAGACGAGAAAGCACAAGACTACCGGAAAGGGGAGAAGTTGTGATCACACTGATTCCACAGCTGATAAAAGATTATTAGATAACTTGAGACCAATCACACCGCTTAATTCTGATTATAAAAGTCTTTCCGGAGCTGTTGCGGCAGGCTGAAGAATAATTAGTGAGACTCAATCCGGATTTTTGAAGAGAAGATCAACATAAATATATTTGACTACAGGAAGTGGATTTGTGTTATTTTTAGATTTCTATAAAGCATTTGATTCTGTTTCTTTCTGAAAACGCTGCATTACTTGGGTTTGGAGAGAGGTTCAGAAATGTGAATGCTGTATAATAATAACGTATAATCCACAGTTCTGCAGCTGCAGGACACGGCAGCGCAGCATTATTGGCTCTAATCTATTCTGGTCAAAAACATTGGTATTGAAGGTTTAAATGTGATGGGAAGACAACTGGAGATGACTCAACTTTGACAGTTTTCTAAGGCCTCAGGCTAAAAGCTGAACGTAGATAAATGTGAAATGATCACCTTACGTGGTTTTCCTCTGCAGTCACTATATAATATACAAATTAAGAAAGAGGTTAAATACTTGGGAATCGTTTTCTCCAAAGAGAGAAGAAGAACTGACAATATGAAAATGTGGAATCACAGTCTTTGGAAGGGTTCTGCTGTTTGTCCGGCCTTTTCTTTCCCCGTATCAGCGAGTTCGATCAAAGCAGTGAATAAAATCGCTTTTAATTTCATATGGAGAAATAGATTATATAAGGAAGACTGTGAAGATGGCGGGATGAATGTGGCTGATTTTGATGTCATGGACGATGTTTTGAACTTGAAATGGTTAAACTCCTTCCTTGAAAATAGAAAATCTTTTTGCTTTATTGTCTCCAATGCTGTCTTTCAAAAAATGGGTGGAATAGATTTTTTTCTCCGGTGTGATTATGATTGCAGCTCAATACCCGTTAAACCCTCTGCTTTCCACCAGCAAGTCCTTCTCTCTCTACTGGAAGCTAATATATAAACACAACTTCACACCTCACAACGCACCTGCTGCATTTTGGTTAATAGAAAATCTTTGAGGAGTTTGGGCAGCTGATAATGGAAATATGTTGAGTGACCTGCCAGGCCCTTTCAGATCAGTGGATAAAGAAAGTCTGCTGTACTGGGGTGAGGAAGCTTTGACTTTTGTGTTGATAAATGTACCAGCAGAGTGGAATGTTGTCCAAACCCAGTAAGAAGGACGTATGTTTTCAGGGACTTTGGAGTTGAAGAGGTGAAAAAAATAAGAAAAAATGATATTTTATTTCCACTTCCTCCCAAAGTAAAAGAAGTGAACTTCAAACTTTTAAATGAGATAAACCCAACTAACGAATCTTTGAGAGTGAGATTTAACGTTGATGTAAATAGCTGTGTCTTCTGTGAAAGGGAACGCATGTTTTTTATAGTGAATTTGTGCCGTCCTTCAGGTGTGACGCGTGCGGCCGGCTACAGTCCAGCAGGACGGAGTCTTCACCACCGACAGTAGAGTCGGTTACATTTGCTTTGTTTGTTGTGATGCTGCTGGGGAAATCTTTTCAACATAAATGTGGATTCTTTAAGACTAAACCTGCTTGAACCACTGGAAGAACGAGATAAAATGTTTGAATAAGTCACTGAAACTTGTACAAAGCAAGAAAGCACTAAAATTGGTTTCATTATTAAGCAGATTCATGTTAATTGGAGGTAGCCCTATCTTTATTTTATTTATTTACTTTTTTATGAGTTCTGTTATTTATTTATGGTCTTATTTGCCTCATCATTTGATGTCTGCTTTGTTCTTAGCTTTACCTGATGTAAAGGATGTAAGGATAGATAAAAATCCACGCGTCTGAAGTTCCTGTTTTATTCTGAAGTTCTGTCAGAAACACGAACTAAAAGCTCTTTGCTGCTAAAATATTTGGCTCTTGAGAAAGAAACATCGTTGTCTCTCGTGTGTTTAGTAGCACCGAGAACTGTAAACATCACATTTTATAAAACAACACAAAAGAGGGCGAGGATATAATTCTCAGGAAAGTGAAAACCAAACCCAAACAGCGATGAGGGATCTAAAGTCAGTCCCCTTAAAAAGAGCTGGGAGATCTGATGCCTCCACTTTTAACCACATCGATTATATGTGAGAGGGAAAAGCAGCAAGCGAAGGCTCTCCAGATTAAAGCTGCGGAGGGACGTACAACGTGTGATATTAGCTAGCCTAGCAGCAGGCGATGTTAAAGCCGTATAGGCCGTGGGCAGGAAGAGACCTTTTAAGACGGGGTGCTGCTGAAGAGGGTCATGATTCATGAGCTAGGAGTCTGAAAGACCCTCTGAGGGGCTCTCAGTGCCAGAGATGTGGACATGTAGCTTCCTTCAGCGGCTGTCAAAGTCACATCACAGCAGAAATGTGGAGAGAATGAAAAAGGAAAGAACAGTATGTTGTGCAGAGGCAATGAAGAGGGTGGCAGGGGGGCCAGTCGGGGTCACAGTGAGGGCCAGAGATCCAGCCGAGCGACTTCAAATGGCGGCTCGGTTGTGATCAGCAGGAAAGGACTGCTGGCGTTCATGAAGCAATGTGGAAAGTTACACTAGTGGCAAACAACTGCTGCAGAAAAGCTTCAAGGGAATTAACCCAAAGGAATTATGGGAACTTCCTTAGAGTCAGCGCGGATCAGAGAGCAAGTGGAAGTCAAGAGGTGGAGAGGACGGAGACGATGATGGTGACGAATGTTTTGTGTTTTCCATAATGCAGTGGAACGCTGGGAATCCTCCTCGCTCCTCGCCAGTCTGCCTGCCACCACGCCCCTCCACCCATCTCTCCCGGGCCCCCTCGGTTCCCTCGCCCTCCTCTGCCCCGCCTGCTCTTCGGCCCCCCGTCCCCCGGCGTCCCCCTCTCCCTCAGCCCCCTCTTTCCTTAATAAAACCTGTTAAAATCCGAGTGCTGCGTTTGGGTCCGTTCTGTCTAGTTCATAACAAGAGATCTGGAACCTGGTCTACAGAATGACAGTAATCCCTGTCCCCCACCGCGATGGAGCTGAAGCTGGGAATAATAAAGGAAAACATGTTGGTCGAGCAGTTTCAAAAGGTTCACAGCTCCAACAACGTAGGTGAGGTAAAGAGGAGCAGACGTATATATATATATACACACATACATACATATATATACACTATATATATATAT